CTCTTGATCTCAATTTACATTTTGAATAGGTTACTGTGTAATTTTTAAGCTTAGTCAAGAAATTGTGGATTACTTATAATTTGAAATTACTCATTAAGTTTTATGCATTTCATTTTGAATTTCTATTTCTTCTCAAGAAATAATTAACTTTGAAAATCAAAAAATAAAATAAAATAAAACATAATAAATATCAAAAATAAAAATGTTGGTGGGTCACTTGCCCCACCCCCCTTCCGCCCCTATGCACGGCCCTACTATAATTCACGACATATTGTATTCTTATGTACGAAGATACAATGACATTTTCTGGAGAAAACAAAGTACAAGGTACCCATGTTCAGTTATTTGCTATTCATTTCACCTTTGGTGTATCCCATGTTACTCGTACCTTAAGTCATATCTTCTAAAAAAAAAGAATTTTCACTAATAAAGGGCTTAAACTTTACTTACTGTTGAAGTGCAACAAATAGTATACTCAATATACAACCACGCGACGAAAATATGAAAAATTGCAAGTTAATAAATATCTTCAACACACTTCGATCAATACATAGGCAAGAAAATCTATTATACAGAAATCACATAAGTTGAATAAAATAATTAAAGAATCTTCGAAATCTCAAAACTCAAAAGATACGTTTGTTACTTTCAACTCGATAAAAAGTTTCGTGCCTGTTTGGCACAGCTTTCGAGATCCAAAAGTTATTTTTAGACCTCTTTGATTAATTTTATGAAAGTATTGTTTCTAGTTAAAGAGTTTTGAGAGGAAGCTGGTCCCAAAGTAACTTTCTCTCAAAATCACTTATGGAATAGAAAGCTCATTTAAAAATTAATTTTTTTTTTTATAAAAAAAACATTTCTACAGAAAGTAAAAATCATGTCGAACGGATACCTCGTCCAGCATGACTGAGACCCTTATGTACCCATATGATGATATGTAGTATGACCAAAAACTCATTGTCAAGTGTCAACACTTTACATTGATTTAGACATCAGATCACGCCTTATGTATTGAGGCCAATTCAATAATTCCATACAATCTTGAATAAGGTTTTTCTTTTTAAAAAAAACAAAAAAATCTCTTATTCTATTATAGCGTGACACTATTAGGTCCAATTTGAGGGAGCTTCTTCTTTTGTTTATGCTTTTTGCAAATTTGCTTCTTCAAAAGTCAATATTTTTTAAAAATTCTTCTAATTAAATAAAATACTTTTCTTTTTGGACCAGATTTTAATCTAAGTCAAAGTCAAACAATCAATATCAACCACATCTTTCATGGGTCCCACATTTTTTTAACAACACATTTCAAAAACTTCTATCACAATCCACTTAAAATCTGATTTTAATCTACGCCAAACACCCTCTTAATTTCTTGAACTTGACGCTTTGCACCTTCAAATCTAATAAATAGTCTTAAACAAGCATCTAATGCTTGGTATAATGAACTCAACACNTTTTTAAAAAAATTGTCAAAAAAGGCCCTTAACACTCATGATGAGCTGCACATGCTATTGGGTCTACATGAGAAGGTAGCGGGTACGTCCGTGAATTCACGAGTGAGCTGTATTGGGCCCATCAACCGTTTAATTGGGCCGCTGAGCTTTCTTTTCTCCACTATGCTCGACATTAATGAAATTTGCAATTTTTTAATTAAAAAAAAAAAGTCCGCAATTTGTCATATAAATTATTAAAATTTATTTTCTGCCAATCCATTCCAGTTGGTGCCCTATAGAATGCGTAATTTAATGGCCTTTTTGACTTTTGATAATTCAACATTCGATTTTTTTCAACAAAGTTTGAAAATATTTTTTTTGCAGGTGAAAACAAGTCAATTCTCATGCAATTAGCAAAGAACCATTTTCAGCAACTTGAAACGTGTTAATAGTATTTATTTTAAGGTGTCGATACTTTTATATCTATAATATATTAAATATCACAATAAGTTAGAATCATTTTTTGGGCGATTATAACCCCACAACAATTCAATTATTTCAATAATATTTTATTTTTCGTTTTTCTATATAATTTGCTAAATGTATTAAATACTATAATTAATTCTCAATTAATTAATATTTACATTCATTTAATTAATATTAATTAGAATTTCACATCCTATTTTTGTTATTAATTCTCAATTAATTAACATTAACATTAACATCAACATTCATTTAATTAATATTAATTATAATTTCACATTCACATTCACATTCACATTCACGTCTATTTTTTTGTCATTAATTCTCAATTAATTAACATTTAGGTTCCTTTAATTAATATTAATTAGAATTTCAAATTCAAGAATGTAGTTCATTATACACGTCCATGTATTCTAATTAGCATCAATTTTCACTTAATTGGAAATTAAATTATATTCATTTAATATAAATGATTTAAGATTCATTGTCACGTATATATTTCTTGATATTAATACTAAATTAAAAAAAGTTACGGGTCCACGTGCAAAATTATTTTATTGAGATAACTTTTTTTTCAAAACGAGTTCAGAAAAAGTGAATTTTAGAACGTGGGGCTAAAAATGAGCTTAGTTCTTGAGCTTTCAAGTCTGCGCATAGAATTCTTATTCGTCCTTCCGTTCTATTCTTACGGATAGTAGTGTCGGAATTTGTGTGATGATTCAAGAGTAGTTTCAAAATTCTTCACATCCCCAAAGAGATACTTCGTTACCATTGTCACGACCTGTGCGATGTATAACTGTTCTTAAAAAGGGATGGCCTTGTGTCGAAGTCTAATTTCAAATAAATAAATGCGTCTCCATCCGACAATTTAAAATTTTACATAATATTAGACAGAGACGGGCTTCATATCAAGTTTTTTTCGTCACTCATACGCATCATAGCTTGGATGGAATTAGAAGAATCTAAATTTAAATAAATAAATATGTCGTATTCTTATCAATTTAAGTTTTTAGATGAGAGGGTAAATCATCCTCTTAGATCGGTGATTAGCTAGGCTACCAACTGCATGCCTTGAAGATGGTGGGGCTACTTTTCACTGTTTGAAACTCATAGTCAGCAACAAATTTCAATCACAGAACATGGGAAATCCTTCAAATGAGGGCATATCATGGCCCCATTTCTAGTTTCAACCGGGAAAAAAGTGTTCTTTTTAGTCCTTTTTGGATTCTCGATTATATTTGAGTTAGACTGCTGAGCTCAGTTTGGTGGGCAATAATTTCTCTTGATTTAATGCTCTCCATTTATTATTTATAGTCAGTTTCTTATTAAAGGTTGTTTGATGATAAAATTTTTAGCAAATTATAATAAAAGTTAACCAAGCACGTGATTAAAAAGTTGATAAAAATTGTGGATTAGCGTAATATATATAGTTAAAAGTAATTGTTAATTTTAAATTTTAACAATTTTTTAAGCTATCCCAAACAATTTGTTTAGCAATTGTTAAGAAGAAGGAAAATAAATAATTACTTCAAAAGATCAGGGAATTATTAGTCTTTAATTTCCAAAAAAATTGATAACTATTCTTGTGTAAGTATGCCCCGTTTGTTATTTCAAATTTTAATGACTGAAATAATATTTTTTTGGAGAATGGATGGTTGAAAAAGAAGGAAAAATTTTCGATTTAAGTGTAATATTATTTTATGGAAGATTGTATGGTTGAAAATGGGATAAAAAAATAAAATTTAATTTAATCGGGGCCAAATGGGGCAATTATAGTATGTTTGACTCTGCTTAAAAAATATACTTTTTTCGAACTACTTCGGCGTTACATTTACATAAAGTCAAAATAAGCACTTAATTAAAAGATACTTATAAGTTTTAAACGGGCCTAATGTGCTCTAGTTCTTGTTCAAAAATACCTACAAACTTGTGATGATTGATATTCTTTAGTTAGAGTGTGTTTGGTAGGGATTTTTGAGGGAAGAATTGATTTTTGAATAGTGACATGATGGGAAATGTGTGGTTGAAAAAGAAGAAAAATGTATTGATGTGATAGAAAATTTCATTTTATTGAAAAATGTGTAGTTGAAAATAAGAATTGATTTACTGTAGAAAATAAGAATATGTACCAAATAGGCTCTTAATTTTTATAGTTCTGATTTCCTTTGTGGACCAAAGTTTTTATAGTATGGAATATATTTGCTAAAATAAATGTACAGTATACTACTATGTACTCACGTAGTTGCATGTGAGTCACTGATTTTTGTCTGTCACCTTTTTAACAAAATCACAAGCCTAACGATGCCAATGGTCTAAAGTGGGGAAGCCTAAAGTTACTGTAGAAGTAAAATTATAGACGAGTTGGTCGTGATAGAAAGGTTTGCCTTGTGTTGGGACGGTAGGCAAGTTTCGATACTCAGGTCCATGCAGTTTCTTGACATTTCTAACGATTACCCTCTCTCGAATAGATGTTAGTCCAGACAAGAAAAGATTGGAAACAACAAAAGTAAATCATTAATGAAGACCAGGGATTCCAAGTCCTGGAACGTCTTTTCAACGTGTTTGATAAGTTGAACTGAACAATGAAATATTGACAAACATGAATCTCGAAAACGAAACTTATAAATGCATTCGTGACATAATTCAGAGGACAAGTGTCTTTCCCATTATTGTCTTGAGATTACACCTTTACACTGCCTTGGCACACGACAATCACCAGGTGGAGTTTGAGCAGTTACTTGAAAATTTTGAGGACGTTTCTCTACTTGCAATTCACTATCTTGATGTGTGCGTGAGAGAGAGAGCGAATTAAACGGGACCCCATGTCCTAACGAAAGGCAACACGAGTCAATAAAACCGAGAACATTGGCTCCCAACATGTTTTCTTCAGCTAAATTACAGTACCCCCAAAGCACCCCCACCCACGCCCAACACAGGGAATTCTTTTCTTTTATATAAACCCTTTTTGGTCACACTTGCATTCCCACCACGCCAGTCTATTCTTTAGTCTTTACCCACCCCCCTCTCTCAATCAAGAAAAAAATTGATCACTTTTTTGTTTCTTCACTTATTTCTTATCCAAAAATGGCCATCAGAAAATCAAACAAATTGTCACAAGCAGCAGTAATAAAGCAGATTATGAAGAGATGCTCGAGTTTAACGAAGAAACATGCAGGATATGATGAAGAAGGGCTTCCTGTGGACGTCCCAAAAGGGCATTTTGTAGTGTATGTTGGGGAAAACAGAAGCAGATACATTGTTCCAATATCGTTCTTGAATAAACCTCAATTTCAGATGCTTCTGCAACGTGCAGAAGAAGAATTTGGATTTGATCATGATATGGGACTCACCATTCCTTGTAAAGAAGATGATTTTCAGTCTAAGATGGAATTAATCTAAAGTTTCAAATAATTTTCAGGTTACTGCAAGAGAGAGATCAAGAAGCTGCTGCTTTGCAGTCTGCTTTTGTAATTTTTTCTTCCTACTTTATTTTTTAACTGTTGACTGGCTAACTCAGAACCCATGAAGAGATTTGGGTTTAGATTATGTAAATCTAGGGAAAGGGGGTTTTTCCTCACAGAGGTGTTTGTTTGTTCCCTGTGAGAGTACTAATTATGTAATTTGATCCTCTCCAATTTAAACTTATATTCCAGTTCTTGTTTACCTAGCTTCTCTCTTTTTCATTTTCATTTTTCATTCAAAGAAATTACTGGTTATCAAAGGAAATAAAAACATAATTTAAATTTGCACACAAGATATAGTCTACCAGATGAGGTAAAAAGTACGTACAGTTGTTCATTTATAAAATACAAATAAATAAATATTATCACCCTTTAAACTTTTAGATAATATAATTCGAATAATAACACTTTGCTTGAACCATATATACTTCATGCTTTCATTTTTTTTCTATCTCAAAATCTAATAACTTCGTATGAACAAATCTGGAAATTGCGATGAAAGAAAAACACGACTTTGCAACTAAACACATCTCATTCGCAAGGTATTCGTCGTATGGTACACTTGATGGTTATATGTGTGGAATCTAAGAGATAGGCGGGCAAGTTGTAAATAAAATGGTCCCAAAATTTCCAGAGCAACTTGACTTTTGGGCAGTGAAATTATTTGTTATCCTAAATACTGGTGTTACTTCACTGTCTATTGATTCATGGATGGAAAAGATAGATACTGTATCATCATTAAATCTATCAACCATGTTTAATCCTATCCTGAATGTCAATTAATGGAATTGTGGTCCTTTCAGCCAATTCTTACTTTCGTTTGTCCGTACCAATTGGACATCTCGCTACAAAAAAATAATAATAATAATAAAATGGTCATTCGTAATGTTTCTCCATATTTGAAAGATGAAACAGATAAAGGCATAATCGTTCTTCATCGCATGTAAAGGTATAAAATAGTCATTTTTTTACAATAAAGTGTAAGGTACTAACGATGAATAGCAGTAAATCTCACGATTTCAATTTCATTTATATCCGTAGTTCTTCAGTAGATACATCCATGTTCAAAATGAACGTCAACTCTTCGGGCGCCTATACCTGTTGCACAACATTATGTATTCTGAAGAGATCAGTCTTAAGGACAACAATCTATTGAGCTTCCACCGACTACTTTTAACCTTAGTTATTTCTTAATTCATCATCGAGTTCTAAATTTTGGGCACTTGAGTAGAAGAATATATTTATAATCTCATAGTTTCTGTATATTCATTATATTTTTAAAATAAGACTAGAACTACATGTGTGTTTTGTTGTTAAAAATTTATCCACTGTTTGAAGACTTTTACATTGTACAGTACCAAAAGTTCATTCAGGGTTTCTTGCAGCTTTCTGGGATAATGTCCTAAAGCGGCCATTTTTTTTTTTTTTTTTTAATATTAAGCTCTTCATGTACATCTTAATCCTAATATTTAAAGATTGTGCTATGTGTACACAATATTTTACATAGTCTTTTACACCCCCCTCACATGGAGGGGGCTCACACACAATAAAATATTTGTAGGTCCCCCTCTATGTGAGGGGGTGTAAAAGATTGTGTACACCACGAAGTGTACATATAGCATTATCCAATATTTAAATATTGAGAATAATAAGATAGGGTCCACGGACCAAATTTACATAGAAAAAAAAAATTCACGTGCAGAATGGTAGGGTGATCGAACAGATGTCATGTTTCAATAAACCCCATTATTTTCATTCCCCGTTTGAGGGGTTGTTCTTAGTTTTGATTTGTGTGGAATTTGTTTGACATCAAAAATTGTTTGGCACTTCATCAACCTTATGGGTGAGATTAATCATATTTACTTCATCGATGCTGGTTGGTCTTTCGACCATCCCACCATTTGCCATACTCACAAAAAATCGACTTGGTTGTATATAAAATATTCACCTCGTCAAACTTACAAACCACGTCAGGATAAAGACTAGCTAATCATCTTTATAACGTTTTATTCACACTTTTCGAAAGCACAGTACACGAAGATCATAAAATCTCGTAAGAGTTATTTTACAGTTGGTTCATGGAAGGGGTGGAGCCAGTTGTGTTGGGAGTTGGCAATGGTAGTAGGGCATAAATGTTGGTTTCAATAATAAGAGTATTATTTTTCATGTGCTTTCTGACTGACTGAGAATTATTACATTGTACTCTGACAGAGAATTATTACATTTGCAAAATATTTTGCACGCAAGACTAAAATTTTTTTCTTAGTTTTTAACCACACATTCTCCTAAAAATTACTGTACAAAACTATGTTTTCCTTTACTGTTCAAAACTATGTTTTCCTCGAATGATGGTTGACAAACAGGTTGAAAGCTCTAACTAATATCTTCAGTGTTTGAACAGCAAAATAGTGCCTACCGTTGCATGACTAAGGTTCTTCATCTGTCTCAGTCCATAACTCGCAATACATTTTACATCACCCACTACATCTTTATATTTAAGTTCTCTGATTTGGGGAGACTTCAGGCTACTCATGAATATGCTCATGCCTTTTAGAAGGTGAACATTAAAAATTGCAAAAAATAGATCTGTAGAGCATGAGGATGAGGATGAGGATGAGGATGAATGAAAACAGATGAGTTTTCTATAAAAGTAGTTTCCAACAAAGTGGGAATCGACTATTTAATCTTCTATAACAACAACAGACTATCCTAGCAGACAGGTATCACCATAGTTGCTGGCTGAGTCAAACTTGGGCAGAAGTTTCTCAAATTTTAGCCTGAAAGACAACTTTGAAATCAACCTTCACAAAATTCAGTTTTGTATTACAAGTATGATAAGTAAAAGGATCTTGATTCTTATTTACATAAGTTCAAATTGACGCAAAAACTAGTTTTATTACACGGTCCATAGAAGGCCATACGACGTTAATTTTAGACTAGTGAAATGCAGCCTTAGTAGCCATTTTTCCCTTTTGAGGAAAAAAATCTGCTAAAACTCCGAGAATGTTTCTCCGGGGTGGGGGTAGATGAAGAAGAAGAGGAGCCTGACTTAGTGGACCGATGTTTTGGACGCTTTGAACTGACTGGTGATCTCAATAGATTGTTTGCTTCAGTGTCTGATGGACTAAACACGGAATTGTACAGATCCAGGGGAGACTCGGAGCCTGCCCTCTGCAAATTGATAGAAGAACCGGCATCTATCTCAACTGGATCCGTGTCTTGCAAATTTGTGCAACTCATGGTTGGTTCTTCCTCTTTGGAGCCTTCGCCCTTCCCACTCCTTCCACTACGTGGAGAAGCCGTGGATTCTGATTGAGGACACAAAGTTTTCAACTGTTTACCCAGAAGATATATGGTTTCTTGACACTCGGCTAGTTTTTCTGATGCAGCTGCCAATTCTTTCTCCTGAAAGAGAAAATGATAGGTTCTTATACGATTTGACTATTCTAGTCAAAGAAAGTTTCGAGAGGCAAATGTAGAAACAAAAAGTTGCAAGAAAATTGATAGAAGTGCTAGATGCTTTCCAACAAGTATACTATATTCACCGTTTAGAAAGATGATATTGTTGTATAAATGATAAAATGAGGGAATGAAAGGCCAAATGTACATCAAATAGCAACAAAAATACACGAGTTTTCCATGGATTATTAGAATAAGGAATTACCAAAAGAATCCATGTGGAGCCAAGGGATAAGGCTTAATCAAGGTTTTGTTTCTTGAAAACGTCAAACTAAGGTTTATCTTGAGGAATCTAGTCATCGAGCAAAACCAAGACCCAACTTTTTTAAAATCATTTCATGCATTCTTTACTTTTTCTCGATACGAGTGAAAAGTTCAATTGCATAGAAAAAAGGTATCAATCTAGAATTTCGAACATAATTTTGTTAACTCCACGTGGTTGGAATTTTGCACACACTGTCCACAAAATACTGCAGGTTTCATGAAAAAACATTGATCTATAACAACCAATGGCAACACAAGTGCTCTTCTCCAATATCTGGTTTTTGAAGTTCTTCTCAAATTAAACTAGTTGTAAGTTCCACATTTTGTGTGCCTATCTGAAGAGTCTATCTCCATAACCTCCATTCAGTTAGTGGTACAAACAAAAATAATGGGTGGGTTAAGCTTCCATAAAACATCAACGGGGAGTCCTTAATTAATCACAGGGATTTAAAGATTTACAATAAGAAACTAAATATTTGATATTTACAACAAAGAAACCCAAGAAGAAGCTGACATGGAAGTACAGAGAATAGGAACAGATCTTGGTGGTTAAAAGTTCGTAACAATTTTACTAGTAGTATTTATGCATGCTAAAGCAACATGTCTCACATAAAGCTTTGAGGGCAAAACTTTATAAACTGAGATCGTATTGACTATAGATAACTTAATGGCTTAAATACTGAAAAAGCAAGATGGTTTAGGAGCATCACCTGGTTAGTCTTGGCATCATTATCAGCTGTTGAACAATTCTCAATCCTGAAATAAAAATATAAAGACTAAACCCATCAGGAATTAGAGAGAGCAAAAAACTTTAGTCGTCCACAATTTGATTTCAATATTTCAACAATAAATTGCATAGATAATCAGAGAGACCTAAAAACAACTATTAACCAAAAAGCTTAAAACAGACAAGTAAAGACATTTGAATCGACGAGATTGTCTGCCAAACATGAACTGGTCAATTGTTACGATGCTTTTACCCAATTTAAGCACAGTAATTGCATGTGTATAAATACAATAGATGCTGTGCAATAGACCTTAGTCCTCAGGACAATGTACAGACAGCCTAAATGCTCGTCTAAACCTGGAAAAATTCTTTCTAACGATGTAAGTTGAGCCCTTGAAAATCCAGGTCAGGTTTAGAAGAAACATGAGTGCAGGAAGCTGACTTGAGGAAAAAAATCGTTACTAACCTTTGCAGCTGCTCCTGGAGAT